AAGTTAAATGTATATAACTTAAAACTCAACAAAAAAAGACCTTTATAAAAATATCCATAGAGGCCCTCCCTGGTGGCGCAGCGGGTTAAAGCACAGCACTGAGAATCTAAAGCCGCTTCCGCATGAATTCGATTCCCGCCTGCCCCGGAGGTGACCACATGGCGAGGCAGACCTCTCCTGACCCGCCTGCTGCTCCCCTCAGCAGTGTACTTCGTCGATCTGCCTGTTCTGCTCCCCACTCTGTCTCTGGTGAAGCCTCTCGCCGCCCCTGAGCCTCTGGCCTGTACCCCAGTTCTGTATGCACAAATAAATAAATCTTAAAAAAAAAAATATCCATAGAAACTTGATTTATATTAGACCAAACCTGGAAACAATACAAATGATCCAACAAGGCAGTGAGTAATGATTCTTAGGATTCAATGAAAATAAACTACAGATAGATGACAAATAGATAAACACATATGTACTTATAAACAATTAGCTATATTGCGTAATTCCATTTATATCTAGCTTAGTACGAGACAAAATTGGCTTATGGTGTCAGAAATTAGGTTACCTTATACCTTTGGGAATGTTTTTTGTGGTAACATGTATACTTTATGATATGTTCATTCAGTCATTCAGTCATACTGTTATGATTCATGTACTTTTATGATTTCTATACCTTTGTGTGTGCGTTCATGATACACTTCAATGAAAAAACTTAAAATGGAATAACTATAAACTTTAAAAAAAATGAGTATTTTACATTCTTTTACTCACACTGCCCTTGATGTCCAGTGTGTATTTTCCTCTTAGAGCACATCTTATTTCAGACTAGCAACATTTCAAATACTCAGTAGCTGTGTGAGACTAATGGCTACCTTGTTTAGACACTGCAGGTCTTGGACCCTGCTATTTCAGAGCTTTTCTGGGGTTTTCTGGTTTTAATTTTAGGTTTTTCCTTGGAGTCAAGTAGAAAAAGTAAGGATTTTCCCCCCAGAACCTTGTCTTAATTTTGTTGCTTCTGTTTTGTTTTTGTACAGTATTTTCTACTTAAAATAGATGGTTGTTCTTGTGTACAGGTTTACAAGCTGTCAGTTATCACCCTTTGGGTTATATGTTCACATTACATTATTGGTCATGTTCCCCATCACCATCTTTTTAAAAGCAAATGTTTTATTAAATTATGGTATACACACAAAAAAGATATGACACATATCACTTCTCACTTTTTTTTGTCCAAAACAAGTTATGTGCCCTTACCTAACTGCAGAGAATTCCTAACCTCGTTCCTAGGAGGAGAATTGGAAATATTGGACAGCACTAAAATCTAACACCTCTCTATAACTGATTTCAGAGAACATGGCCTTGGGTTTATATTTGCCTAAAAATACAAACATACAAACACAAGTCCTAGTACGTTTTCCCATTCTGTATTGTTTTTAAATCCTATAATCCTAAAAGATGAGTCTACCTCAACTTTTTGGTAAAGTGTTCTTTCTGGCTTCAATCCCTGGTCTTCTCTTTTCACTCACCTAACCCGAATCCCTAAACTTGCCTATAAACCTGCTTTGTAAATCCAGCCTTGTCTCATGTCACACATGCACACCTCAATCATAATGGCCTTACAGTTCCTAAAAGAAAATAGACTTTCCACTTCTGTCTTAAATGTTTTTTTCCTCCTTATTTTTACTGGCTATTCTTTAACTTTTAGTTTAAGTAGGGGAATCATCTGTATTCTACAGTCTTGTCAGACTCTGTGCTTTGCTTCCAGAAAAACTGTTCCAGTGTAATTTGATTTTTGTACTGTTACTTGTTCTATTTACTTTGCTAGTTAGAGAACAGAACATTGCCCCAAGGCAGCAAGAATTGAGTCTGTTTTGCTTACTGTATACTGTTTCTGTGCTTAGCCTACTTACTGGCATATAATTGAAGCTCACTGAATATTGAGTTTAGTGGGAGTTGGAGATCTGTGACAGTTATTTAGTCTATATAGAGAACATGTCCAAGACATTTATACAGTCCATAAACAACAATGTGATAAGAAGTGTATCACACAAACTGCAAATACACACTGCTTAATGCCTCTATGTCTTAGGGTATGTAAGAGATTCTAGAGTATTAATGCTTTTCCCATTCTTCCTACATTGGAATATACCCTCACCTATATCTCCATGTATTTTTCAGTGTTTTTCTTTTTCCCATTTTTTGAGTGATGTTTTTATTTTTAACTTGAAAAGCTTACAGTCAAGGGCTGTATCACATTTAACATAAATGGCAGTAAAACTGCCTAAGCAATGAGTATATTATAGAGATGTAGTGAATAAACAAATAAGCTCTGTCATATTAAAATCTCTTTCCTTCTAGTTTTCTAGAGATGGTACAGAATTACCAAAACACAGCATGATTTATTTTATGTGATATTTCACATCAGCAAAAGGGTATATATGTTAGATACTTGGAAAATGCTTAGCTACAAAATTTATGTACCTTACTATTTGTCTTCATTTACATGTGTTGTGAGGACTTTTAGTCTTTTTTCTCTTTCTTTTCACAAAGAAAACAACTTTGATCATCTGCATTTTTCAGATTAGTATTATAACACTTATTAAAATAACATTATGTCTAATAGAAACACCAAAGAACCAAAAATTAAAACACAAGCTCTATAAAAACCCAACAAGGGTCTCCCTGGTGGCACAAGGGGTTAAGTCTCAGCATGATGAAGCTATCAGCAGCCACTGCAACATAAGTTCGATCCTTGACCAGGGAATTGACCACATAGTGCAGCAGACCTCTCCTGTCTCACCCACCGCTCCCCTCAGCAGTATTTTAGTCAGTCTGCCTGTTCTGTTCCCACTCTGTCTCTGGTTAACTCCTCTGATCCCTCCCCCACAGCTTTGGCTTATACCCCAGTTCCTGTATGCATTAGGAAAAAACCAAACAACAAAAACTCAGAAGTGACTAAAGTATTAAAATTTATTAGTTAACGAAAGGCCAGAAAGCCATGATACCAGTATAATAAAGTACTACAAAAAAATTGCCTATATTCATTTATCAAAATTGTGAAATTTGCATTTTGTATCCTTTTATCAATCATGGAAAAAATTCTTTTTGAATGTTATATACCATATATGTAAAATAAGAGAAAAATACATTATAAACTCTATAATGGCTATAAATACATTACCGTACATGCTTCTCAGAGGCAATAGGTTGGTTATGCTACACATGTAGCATGAAACTACTATGATAATAAAGATTAGACAAAAATACATGTTAGATATATAGGAACATATAAGTGACCCATCTACCCACACCGAAAATGATGTAATACCATTAGGTTAAAAAAAAATCTTAGAAACTACTTATTTTAATAAGAAATTCAATAAAAAGTGATAATATTGAGAGCCAAGGTATTCAAAGATTTCAAGTCACTCTTTCACTTGACTCAAAATTTTGTCAACTAAGTTTTCAGAAGTTTCTTCAGAACCATTATAACTCATAAATGTCATACATTTATTTCTTACTTTTATTTCCTTCCCCCAGAAAAGACCTTCGATAAACATCAGAAATGTCCAGGTATATAACATAGTTGAAATGAAACCGGGCAAATACTGGTATTTTATAAATGACTATCACTGCAAGTACTTTGAGTGTCAAAATTTTTTAAACCAAACAAACAAAATCAGTCAAAATGGCACAGCATATATTATAACTAAACCAAAACAACTGTGTGTAACAAAATGACAAAGCAGTGATACATTAATTCTAAAACTAGATGAATACAAAACAGTTAATGTCTCTGGCATTGTAAATATACTGAAAGTGGTTTTCAAGTGAGAGAAGATGGCAGAGATCTCAGAGATCACTTTGTTTATGTTTTATTGTGGACTGTCAGTACTATTTTTCATCTAATACAAATGTTTTAATAGTGTTTTCACTTATAGTGCTAATCTAATTGGTAGAATTGATGAGATGATACATATATTTTTATTTCTAAGACTTTGATAATTGTATTCCTTATTTTTATTCTAGAAGGGGACCACCATTTCCATCAAAAAGAAAATGGGATTAAAAGGAATATAAACAAAGATTATATTGGCAGATTCCGTCTATTTGCCTAACAAATGTTTGTGAATTATATCTTGTGCCAGAAGCTGGGGAAAGAGATGGATACTTCTATAAGATTTAATTTTTTTTTTTGTTTCAAACATTCAGATGAATGATGGGTTTCAGTTTTTTGCTAGCTGTGCCAGTTTTCTCAGCTATAGCATTGGGATAGTAAGTACCCATCTTGAAAAATTTTTATAAAGAGTAAATAAAGCCGAATCCCAGTGTTTGGCATACAGTAAATATTCAATACATGTAAACTGTTATTATGAGCCTTGTCCACAGTTAACCTTTTAACTATTTTCCTGTGTTTCTTCCTGCTTATTTTTTCTTCTTATTACTATCAGAGCTAAATTTTTATACACAGGTCTGATTGTGTAACACTACCTCCTCAATATCATCCTTTCAACTTTTAAAAAACTTTTGTGTATTTTTTATTTTCTCAAGAAGAATATCTCAAATATATGGATGGGATTTAGTACCTTACAGATGACCTTGACCTTCCTTACCAAACCAGCTTCTATCTTAGCCCCTCACAAGTTTGCCGCACAAGTATGTCACACACGCTTAATTTTGCTGATTTGGCTTATGCTAGTTCTTTTATCTAGACTTTATGATTTAGGACTCAATCCCTTTTCTCAACCTCAGCCTGAAAAACAGAGGTTCCTCTTTTCTTCCCAGACCTTGCCATTTGATCCCTGTCATTCACCTCTCCATAGCTTGTACCATTTTATTAAGTTAATTACATGTGTCTTCTCTCCCACTAATTTGTGAGTTCCTTGAGAGCAGAGACGATATTTAGTCATCATTATATCACTAGCCCTAGTAGGCATTCATTAAAAACTTGTTGAAATAAAAGATGAAGTAGTTTAATGTTTTTATTTCAAGCATGTTTCTTATTCTAGGTTCTGGGCCTTATCCAAAATATGAGCGTTTTCCAGTGTCCAAAATGTAAACACAGAACTCATATTTTTGGTGCTGATGGTACAAGGAAATTAGCACAGACACTTGGTCTGGATGTTCTAGGTAAGATTACCGGCTGTTCTTTGGTAGAGAAAATGGCAGAAGGGACAGTGAGGATAAGGCATGAAGAATTGTTTCTGACTTTCTGTTAGTATAGCACAGTCCTGTGTACTGTCCTTTCTTTGGCCTATTAGAAAAAAAGTGTTGGTAGATGCCTTTTTTGAATATGAGGTTTGTTCTGTCCATTATAATAACTCCTGCTATAGATAAAAACTGCCTCTAACTTGAATTTTAAAAGAGAGTTTTGCAGCCTGAGTACTTTAATTTGAAGCCCATGTTTTAAATAATGGCCATCAATGTATTTGCTCAGTTGAAGCAACAATTTCTCAGTATAAATACATATGAATGGAAAATACCTGTTCAGTATTTTGTAGCAACCTATGGAAATGTAAGTTCTTAGTGTGTGTATAAAATCTCTTCCCAGTTAGTTCTGAACTTAGCGGCTCACTGCTCTTGAGGGGCAATATTTTATGTTTTTTTGTAGCCTTTCTGTATGTTTGCCATGTATATAAACTATAGCTCCTAAATTTTACATTGTATATGTATACATTAGTGAACTGAAAGACTAGTGTTCATGAAGAGAACTAAAATCGTGTTAAGTGAGCAAAACACAAATTATAAATTAAATGTGATCTTTAAAAAAAAATCCACAAGCAGTTTAATGGACTTTTTAGAAAACATGTTTTGATATCCTAGTTATGAATTAGCTTCTGTTCTGGGCAAAGACAGATGTTAGATGCTAAGAAAGGGAGGAATAGAGTGAATTACCAGTTTTAGGTAGTTAACAATTAAGATCCCTTGGAGATCAAGGAATTTCAAAGCATTCTTTATTATAATTAAGTTTCTAAAAGTTGAAGTTAAATGTGTTTTCCTTAATATGCATTTGCACTGTGCAGCCACCACAATACCAGGTGAATACTAATGATATATTTTGATACATTGCTGTAATTATAGCCACTAATTATATTCTGCAACTGTTTTTCATTTAAGTAACCTAGAAAGTTCAATTTCCCAAATCTGCATAATAACATAACAGATTGACATTCACTTACATAATAAAGTAAATGTGTAATTATAATGGCATTATTGAATTATAGTGACTATTATAATTCCCTAATTTATAAATGGATGGGACAATTTTGTAAGTCAGTTTTTAGAATTTGAAGCATAACTTCCAGAGAAACAGTCTCATATATGACAGTTACATTTACCCAACAGCTCACAAATGTGCCATTACCCTATATCAGAAACACTTATTACTGATCACAAAACTGGGTGATGATATAGACTCCAGTGTCTAACTGTATTGTGGGAAAAATAATTTAGAGTTTCAATTCAGGACACAGTTCTTCCTTTTAGTGCAATCATGTGGTCCTTCTCATGAACTGGAGTAGACTCTAATAATGCAGAGGATGGTAGTAGAAATGAGGAACTGAAATCAAAGAAGCATCTCTACCAGCCTCTGGGCTGGTAGAACGACACCCCTCACACTACCATCCTCCCCTCCCCACCAGGAACCCGTATTTGTTCTTTACTGAGTCTGGCTTTCTCTAAATTTAATGTTCATCCATTAGACTGTGTTTTAAATAATTATCTTGTGAAATGGCTTTCAGAACTTTATCCATATTACTTACAGGGACAGTTTATACATGGTAGTTAAGGTTTCAAATAATCTCAAATAGGTAGCTACCCAAAAGAGTTTTATTCCTGTGCCTTCCATAATTGCATTAAAAATACAAACATTCAAGATTCCTTTAGTTAAAACTCAATGGTATTTCATAAACCAAGAGAAAAAAACTTTATAATCATCTGAGTATTTTCTATAACATACTGTTCCTTGTCTGCCCATGACCCATGACAGTTCCTTGCAGTCTTAAGTTTATCTATAGAATAGACATCAGATTTACTGAAAAGTGAATCTTTAAGTGGCTACTGAAATATTAATGCATTTTTATTTGGCTTTCGAAAATTTAGAAAAGATTTAAAGAGTTGATTAAGATCTCAAAATTTGCTGACAGAGGTATGAATAGCTCTTCCAAACAGGTACTTGATAGTGTTAGTTATAATAGGTTTGTAGTTTTATAACATACACTTCTTATACATTATTTACATTGCCTGGAGTGGTGCTGGCATGGTGACTTACTTATAAAACATGCATATTTAGACATGTTTCCATAATTTTTGCATGGTTCTAGAGTGGTTCTAAGAATGCTGAGTGCCATTACAAGTCAGTTCATCTATTTCTTAAGACTCAAGTTACTGCATTTTAAATCTAAGCTTTTTAAAAGTCTTTATTCATGATGGTGTGGTGGATCCTACTGGGCAATGTATTAGAACATTCCCTCCTAAATTCTACTACCTAATAGTAACTTATATGTCTTAGGAAAAGTATATGACCTCCCTGATCTCAAGTGTCTATATGAAAAGCTCTTTTCAGATATTTACTGAAATCTCATCAAGCTTACAAATTATACATATTATGTATAATGTACTGTGTACATTACTATATAACAAAAGAAGAATAATTCTAGCTGTTAAAGAAGCAGATAGCTGAGATAACTGGTCTGGGCTAGTTTTTACCAGTTCTCTGAGCTCACTCATTAGACAACATCAGGAAGATTATTTGTTGTACTTTTGGGTAGTTTTTTGGCTACTCATTTTTTCTCCTTCAGTTTCCTCTTATTGTATGGTATGATGTGTTTTTATCCTATATTACAAGGAATAATAATTTACAAATGTATTCTAAGCCATTTCTTGGACAATCCCCAAAAAGAATAAATCAGAAATCTTATCTCTTAATGACTGCCACATGACTTTCAAGTACACATATGCAATCATAATGCTACCCTCAACTGGAGTATTTTGCTCCTAATAGTCACTTGAAATTCTTTATTCAAAGATTTAGTAATTTGTACATAGCTTTAACTCAAGTTGATTGGAATCTATTTAATTTAGATTTTGTTTTTTTTCCTGAAGTTAAAATACTGAAATTCCGAACACCTTGCTAAACTTTTGTGGTACTAATGGATATCTGATGTGCTTTTTTAGGAGATATCCCTTTGCACCTTAATATAAGGGAAGCTTCAGATACAGGCCAGCCAATTGTGTTTTCACAGCCTGAAAGTGAAGAGGTAAGTTACTTTTTAAAATATCTATTTTTATTTTTATAGGATATATTTTTTTGATATATAAAAAGTTGGGTCATTAAACCTTCTATTTGCAATCTACAAAGATTAGTTAATTTATTTAAAACATCATTAAGTTACTCACCATTTTGGCCCTCCCTGGTGGTACAATGGGTTTGGACACAGCACTGCAAGCTGGCCTCAGCGACTTTAGTGCAAGTTCAATCCCTAGGCCCAGAGGTGATCCACATGGTGCGGCAGACCTGCCAGCTGCTCCCCTCAGCAGTGTGCTCCATCAGTCTGCCTGTCCTCCTCCCCTCTCTGTCTCTGGTGAAGCCTCTCACGGCCCTTCCATCTCTGGCTTGTACCCCAGTTCTGTATGAATAAATAAATCTTTTTAAAAAATCACTCACCATTTCACTATTTTATATGGCAGGGATACCAGTGTTGACTATGGAGTTTCAACTAATCAAGTTCATCTATAAAGAAACATCATCTAACTATTAGTGTCTCAAGAGCTAACAACATTGCGTGAATAGTTGATAGATTTTCAAGATTGCTAAAGCTTTATGATTTTAAGTATAAAATCTTTTAATGTACTCTTTTTAAGCTAGAAATAAAATCAATCATATATATTGCTTCTTTCTTAAGTAGCACTTGCTACTTAAATCAGAAACTGAGCCATCATCCAGTACATCAGTTTTGATGTGATTTTTGTGTGCAGTGCCGAACAGCCCAATGGTCTTGTATAGTTTTTTCTTTTCTTAGCTAATATGTATGACTTTATAGTCCTGTTATTTTGCATCTTCATAACTATTACTCCTTTCATTCTAATCTTATATGAGCTGTGAATAAAGTAAATTGACAGTCAGGAACTTTGAATAAGTAAAGGAATTCACTTTGAATTGTCTTTCAGGGACCAGAGGGTCTTTCCTTTTCCCAAGGGTTGGGGATTATGGTACAGGTGTTTGAGTTGCTGAGAATATAATCTTTGAGTAAATATACTGTGGTACTTATTATTGTTTTACTTTTCTCTGCCTGTTAAGTAACAAATACTAAATTTCCTTTTCAGTCTCTTAAAAATTTTCAGATAAGCAAAAACCATAATCTTTTATAACTTTCATAATTAAAGTCTGGTAGTTCCAACTATCATAGGTGTGTACTTTATGCAGTGAGTGAAAGTTGTTAGTAAATTGAAGTTAGACTTTTTAAAAAGATTTATTTATTTATGCTTACAGAACAGGGATACAGACCAGAGGTGTGGTGGGTGAGAGGATTCACCATAGACAGAGTGGGAAGCAGAACAGGCAGAATGGCAAAGTACACCGCTGAGGGTAGCAGCAGGCAGGTCAGGAGAGATCTGCCACTAGGATCATGTGGGTCAGCTCCTTGGCTGGGGATCGAACCCACTATACTGGCTTTGGAGAGCTTCATAATGTGGTGCTTTAACCCATTGTGCTACCAGGGAGAGCCCTGAAGTTAGATTTTTTTCAGTACACACTTTTAAATACCTTTTAAGAATAAAACATTTAAAGACATCTTTTAGAAAGAATTTATTTACTATTTTATTTCAATTATGAGTTTAGATATTTAAGAATATTTTTCTTTGAGATGCTTCAAAAGCAAGGAATATTTCAGTTCTTCACCAATGTGTTTTTTTTACCACCTTTTATATCATTATATCCCACACATTTTCTAAAGATCGTGTCACACAATAAAACCCAAAAAGTATTTGTTGTAATGATACTTCATTGGCTGAAAAAATTCAGTCTCAATAGTTTTGTATGAATTGCAATTATTAAACATTTTTAGTGGTTTCTCAGCAAATGGCAATCTAACCATTACTTTGAGTGTGATATATTGAAAGTTTAAATTTGGAGATAGTCCATTAAAAAGTAAAGGTTAAATGTAGCAATTTTGATTATTTTCAAATCATTCAGTATTTTGATTATTTTCAAATCATTCAGTAGTCTATTAGGTTTATACCTCCAATTTAACACAAGAACTTAAAGATTATAAAATGATGTTTTTCCCCTTATTAAATTTTAGATTTTCATCACAAAATATTAGGCTTAAATACCAAGAAGAGATACTAGGAGATTAAGAAGTGTTTATAAGAACTTCCCTGGTGGTATAGGAGTTAAGTCAGCACTATCACCTCTGAGGCCTGAGTTCAATTCCCTGCCAGGGAGCTAAACCACATATGGCACAGCAGACCTCTCTTGTCTCACTGCTGCTCCCCTTAGCAGTGTATTTCATTAGATCCGTCTGTTCTGCTCCCCACTCTCTCTCTGGTGAATCCTCTCATCCACATGCCCCCCCACCTCTGGCCTATACCCCAGTTCTCCTATGCATAAGTAAACAAATCGCTTTAAAAAGTGCATGGGTAGGGCCCTCCCTGGTGGCTCAGCAGGTTAAAGCACAACACTAAGAAGCTAAAGCCACTTCCGCATGAGTTTGAATTCCGCCTGTCCCGGAGGTGATCCACATGGCGAGGCAGACCTCTCCTGACCCGCCTGCTGCTCCCCTCAGCAGTGTACTTCGTTGATCTGCCTGTTCTGCACCCCACTCTGTTCCTGGTGAATCCTCTCACCCTCCGCATCTCTGGCCTATACCCCAGTTCCATATGAATAAATAAATCTTTTTTTTTTTTTAAAAAAAGTGCATGGGTAGAAAAATCAAGACATTAGATTTAAGAGAAATATTTCTTTAGAAAGTATATATTGTTCCATTTTTTTAAAAAAATCATTGTTTCTATACACTATAGAAGACAGTGAAACCATTTTTAGATAAAGCATTACAGTTCAAACTACTTATATTTTGTGCTTACTGCTTAAGTAAACATATTTAATACATTTAATTAATTGTGACTGAATTTATAAGTGTTTAAGTTAATGGTTACTTTTATAGATTTAAAAAACCCTTTAAACCATTGATCATTGTTCTAACTGAACCAACTTTGCAGCCATTGGGTTAGTTTATGGCCCACTCAGTAGCTTGAAAACATCATTTAGGGTTCCTCTTCTCTGGGAGGTCCCAGAAATGATGATGTAACAGCTATTTCCATGAGTTCTTTCCATATTACCCAAAATTCACCAGGGGAAGGTGTCTGTGTGTCTTGGTGCTGTTATAATATGCCATTCTCAGAGAGAATCAAGAAAATGCGTCTCAAAGGTAAACCATGGGCTGATAATAGTCTTCTTTAAAATGACTAACAGCCTTCATGCCAAAGAAACTTTGGAAGTATCTAACTCCAGATATCAATTTGTCAGAAGAAGAAGGTATAATTTTTTTGCAACTGGACTGGGTTGCTAGTTTGCTAACATGGGAATAAGAATTTGAAAAGAGTAAATGCTGGTCCTTAGTATTTGTCAAAAAGTCACTTTCTAAATAGTTCTCCAAGTAATCTAAAATCCTTTCTACTCTTCCCTGCCCACAGTGTACACAGCAGTATCTTCTCGGTAATGAATTTCCTCATCTTACTCAGCCTTTTTAATATTAAATTCAGTCGAGAGCTATGACAAACAAACAGTTCATGAGTCTTTTGATGTCTACTGTGAAGAAATACAGAATAAATGAGTCTGTTCTTTTTCAGGCCAAAGCTTATCTAAAGATTGCTGCAGAGGTGGTAAGAAGATTGCCACCACCTCTAGAGTGACTCCCCCAGTATTCTGGAAATTTGCCTGGTGGTTGAGACCAAGAAGATCTTTGGTAATAAGCAGTCTTGTGGTGAAACCTGCAAATATAATCGCAATCATAGTTGTTTTCATAAAGAAATGTTTTATTTTCAGATTTGATTTGCTAAGCAATGACATACAGATGAGATTTTTATATATCAGTAGAAATTGCTACATTTAGGATTTTTTTTGAAAGATGACGTGACCCAGATTTGCATTTAATTTTACTGAGCTACCAAGGAGTCATGTGTTTATATTCTAAGCTCAACCTTGAGTTCAGTAGATAACAGTACTCTTTGCGGGACTACAGAGCTAGTAATTTAACGGATTTTCTAATTTGTATAAAAACACTTCTATCAGGGATTTTGTTCTGGGTTTGAGTCCTTCCTCAAGTACTGCCTTAGACATATCCTGTTTTGTTTTGTTTTGTTTTGTTTTAAAGCTGATTTGTCAAACTATAAATTTTCATTTACTTCTTTACCTCTTTGTTCATACAAGCCTCACCTTACCTGCCACCAGTGTTCTAGTGTCCTTCCCACTATCAGCTTGATACCCATCCATCCTCCTTCCCCTTCCCCCCACTGCAGATCATTGTTCTTTAGAGAATCTCATGATTTTTTTTGTTGTGATTTGCTAGTGCCTTTGATTTGATTATTGTAGTCTACATATGAAAGTAAACATTTGATAACTGTGTTTTCACTTCTGAGTTATTTCACTTAGCTACTCACCTCAATTTCCATCCAGGTTGTTTCAAAAGGCAAGATTTCATCTTGTTTAATAGCTGTAGTATTCCTTTATTTAGTACCTTAACTTTTCAATGGAGTCTTCCGCTGATGGGCATTTAGATTTTTTCCGTTACTCAGTGAATAATGCTGCTGTGAACATAGCAGTGCATAAATCTTCTCAAATTAGTATTTTCTTAGTCTTCAGATAAATACCTAGTAGGTATTGTTGGGTTATATGGTATTTCCATGTTAAGTTTTTAAAGAAGTATCCAAACTGTTTTTCGATGGAGGCAGCACCAATTTATATACCCAATAGTGAGTGAGAGTTCCTTTTGCTACTGCACCCAAAACAACACATGGTTTCCTTTTTTTTTTTTTTTTTGATATAGTAATCTCCCAGGTATGAGATGATAGCTCTTTGTGGTTTTGATTTGCATTTTCCTGATAATAAGTTAGATTACAATTTAATATAAATCTCTACTTCTTTGTCTAAAACACACTCTATGTAGATCTCCCAGGGTAGTGCTTGGACATGTGTATATTTAACAAAAATCATTGTATTTTACATGATGATTCTGATTGTGATGGTAATAGTAATAATAACTGCAATTGACATTTATTTGATTTTATGTCCTTATAGCTAACATTCCATTAATATGGATGTGGTACTGCTATCTCCAATTTCCAAATGAGGAAGCTCAGGTGTAGAATAGTTAAGTGCCTTGTTGGAGTTTGCTATGTTAGCAAATACAGGAACTGGAATTTGAACTGGGCCATTGTATACTGGATCCTTCTTTTTTTTAATTAATATTTATTTATGCTTACAGAACTGGGATAAGACCAGAGATGTGGTGGGAGAGAGGATTCATCAGAGACAGAGTGGGGAGCAGAACAAGCAGATGTACTGAAATACACTGCTGAGGGGAGCAGCGGGCAGTCAGGAGAGGTCTGCCATACCATCTGGGTCAGCTCCCTGACGGGAGATCAAACTCCAAACTCATGCTGCACTGGCTTCTGGAGCTTTATAATGCAGTACTTTAACCCGTTGCACCACCAGGGAGAGCCCCGGATCCTTCTTTTTGTACAACAAAATGGTACTTGTTTATTTCAAAAGAGAGATCCATAGTATTCAGTGTTTCTAAGCATGGATTCCCTTCCCTCCCCCCTTTTTTTAGGAATAGTTTATGGAGCTCATGCATCGAAGAATATACTTTCAAAACATGTATTTTTGTCTAATTAATACTCAAAGAAGGAGTCAAAGACTTACCAAAGTCAAGTAGCAAAATGTTTGTAAAACAAAGCACTGATAAGAACCAGTCATTAGTTAAATCCTCACTTATAAGGACAGGTCCATGACCTTTGATAAATGCTTCAATGTTCTTTGTCTTGTAGTTAAGCAGCTAGAAAACTAGTCTGTAAATTATATAGCATTGTAAACATACAGAATTGTAAACAATTCTACTCACATAATAACATATAAAAAGCTTTATGTATAATCCCCAAAACAACCCACATGTTTTTTAATGGGAAAAAAGGTTAAATAAAATGAGGTATATCCATACCATGGAATACTACTCAATGATTAAAAAAAGAACAAACTATGAACACATGCAACAACCTGGATGAATTCCAGAGAATTATATTGAATGTTAAAGCCAATCTCAGTAGGTTATATACCATATACAACCATTTATATAAATTCTTGAAATAAAATGTTTTGGAAATGAAGAACAGATTAGTGGTTTCCAAGGGCAGAGGGGAAGGTGTAAGGAAAGGAATTGTATGTGGTTATAAAAAGGGTACAGAAAGTGGGCCCTCCCTGGTGGCAAAGCAGGTTAAAACACAGCACTGAGAAGCTAAAGCCACTTCAGCATGAGTTCTATCCCTGTCTAGGAGGAGACCCACCTGGCGCACCCGCTGCTCCCCTCAGCAGTGTACTTTGTCAGTTAGCCTGTTCTGTTCCCCACTCTGTCCCTGGTGAATCCTCTCGCTGCCTCTGTACCTCTGGCCTGTACCCTAGCTCTGTATGCATAAATAAATAAATCTTAAAAAAAGTTAAAAATAAAAAAGGGTACAGGAAGTACCCTGTGACAAGGATGGAAATGATCTGAATCATGGCTATATTGATTTCCATATCTTGATTGTGATGTTATATTGAGTTTCACAAGATGTTACCTTTCAGGGAAATTGAGAAATGTACACAACATAATCTCTCTGTATTGTTTCTTACAACTGCATATGAATCTCTATCTTAAAATGAAATTAAAAGTTTAATTAAAAAATAAACACATGCTCCTGTGTCTGAACTAAAATTTTCTGAACCAAATTACCCATGTTAATTAAAATCATGAATTAAAGTATTATGGTCACACAGTAATCATTCATCACTCTAAGAAGGAATAATGACTTTAAGTTGTAGATATTTATTTGCGTTTTTACTGTCTTTGGGGTATGAGGCCAAAAAGATGATCATTGAGAAGTTCTGAATACCAAAAAGCAAGTAACTAAATCAAGCTCAACTTTATCCAGAAAGAGAATAATTTAAAACAAGATCCATACATGTTTAAAGGATAGTGGATCAAGTAGAGAAGGTCAGTTGCTTGTTGGTGAGTTGTGGCTAGATGTTTAGTGGATATGATCGCATATTTATAGTTACCATGCCTCTGCCACATCCTATATACCAGTAATTTAAAAAACCTAGGAAGTTAGAACTGAAGATTGTGTCAGAATTTAGATAATCCCAGCACTCCAATAGAATGATCTCTAAACAAAAAATAAGTTCACCAGTGACCCAAGGCTTTTGGGAGGAGTGCAGTGGAGATTAATTCATTATGAAGTATACTGTATAGAGAGTAAAGCACAGAAGACATAAGTGTACAGGTGTAATTATCTACAAAACGAACACCCATGTAACTGCTTATAACCAGTTTAAGAATTAAAATGGTGGCCCTCCCTGGTGGCGCAGCAGGCTAAAACACAGCACTGAGAAGCTAAAGCCACTTCCGCATGAGTTCGATTCCTGCCTGCCCCAGAGGTGACCACATGGTGTGACAGACCTCTCCTGACCCCGCCCACTGCTCCCCTCA